AACTTTTCAATAAGCTAACATTCTACGCGGTTTGTATAGTACTATCCCCCTATTAACGTCACATCCGTTAAGGGATTTAAGTCTTCCTTGAGTTTTATCGCTTAAATGAAAGGGTCTATATATAAAGATGTTAATTGGCAATTAGAAAAACCACATTTTTCAGTTATTTCATACACCTGCATTACAATATAAACCAGTTTATACATGAACATCAAAAAACATCAAATTATGCTTAGATAGACAATTCAAATGTCAAAATCTACTTGCTGCAGTTCCAATATAAACAACCTTATATGTATAGATATGAATAACAACTCTTAAAATAGATAGCACATGTATGTATCTATAGAAGTTAAAAATAATTGTAGCACATTAAAAGTATCATCAACTAACTGATTGAAATAATGATTAACTAAAATAAAAGTGTGGTCTGCTAGTTGACTATGATACACTTGTCAATGGTCAAGTTTTGATGTCCCGCACAAGCGTCTAACCTTAACCCTAACCTAATTTTGGTCATGTGACTTAGCATGTGATTTCTATATATAGTCTGGTCATGATGGTCTGTCTTACCCTAAACCTAGAAAAAAAGAATCCATATAGAAAGCCCAACACGGCAAAATTGAAAATATCGCAGGCTCGGTTTGATTGAGCGTGTTCATGGACAGTACTAGAAAGTGCAATTTACCGTCTACGCACCCTCGCAAAAGCGGCGTATGGCCCCCCAAGTAAAAGAATGCGTGTGCCCTAAACGAGAAGAAAACAATGGGTGGAACTTAATAAAATTGAATTTCGAAAGGAGGTCAGAAGTTATGAAGCATGCACATCACAGATATGACGTCAAAAGACAAATTTATAAAGCAGGCAACATATCTTAAGGGTGATTATACAGTATTCACGTAGGAATACTGGAAACACCCAAGTTGAAAAAGGCCAAATACAAGAAACTAAATATACCATATAACATGTTTACACAACAACTATGTCGTGCTGAACGATCTTTAAGGATAAAAAATATAACATCTTTGATTAAATGTACGGGGAGACATTTTACAGCCAGCCGCCACACAGCATAAATAACACTGATTTGACCATAAAATAGAGAAAAACAGAATCCCTAAAAAAAGCCCAACACGGCAAAATTGAAACTGTTGCAGGCTCGGTTTGATTAAGCCTGTTCATTGACGGTACTGGAAAGTGCAAGTTACCGTCCATGCCCATCCCTCCAAGAAACGGTTTAAGCAGAATTCAACATTTAATCATGGTAATGGTGAAATTTTGAATTTAGAACCATCCGAAGATGGGTTCATACGACGGTTATCATGGAACCTTCAATGTGACAGTTTCGAGCCATTCAATGAAAAGCGGCGTATGGCCCACAAGTAAAAGAATGCGTGTGCCCTAAACGAGAAAACAATGGGCGGAACTAAATAAAATGGAATTTCAAAAGGGGATCAGAGGTTATGAAGCATACATATCACAGATATGACGTCAAAAGACAAATTTAAAATATATCCTAAGGGCGATTATAGAGTATTCAAATAGGAACACTAGAACCACCCAAGTGGAAAAGGCCAAATAGAACAAAATAAAAATACCACATAACATGTAAACACAGCAATTATTGAGCATTTCAAAATACGGCGCATGTGTACACAAAAGAACCACGTGATGTCAACAATAAATCAGATCGTGTGGGCTCATCGAAAAGTAATAAAGTGGTTAAGAATAAAAAAAGAGAACCAATTGATATTAACAACCAATCAGATCACAAGGGTTCATCCAGGGGCCATGAGCCAGGGCTCATTTCGTCAATTCGTCACTACCCTAACCTAACCAAGGGTACCCATCGGTAACCTTTATTTCATTTTCTATTAGCCAAAATACTATATAGTAAGCCTGAGTAAGCTTAGAGATTACGAAGTTAGAATGAGTAAGGGGTTAGAGTTAGCTGAAATTCTAATTCAATACATTATTAATATAGTCTTTAAGACATAGTGAAGTGGGTAAGCTTCGGGGTAATGTGGATAAGCTTCGGGGTTCGTTTCCCAAAATGGTGATAAGAGGATAAGCACCGGGATTACTATCTGGGGTAGATGTGTTAGCTGGGTAACTATCAGGATACCCACCGGAAACCTTCATTGCATTTTCTTTTATCCAAAATACGCAAGAGTAAGCCTGGGTTAATTTAGAGGTTGAGGGGTTAGGATGAGTTAAGGGTAAGAGTCAGCTGAAATTCCATTTCAAGAAATATTTATATAGTCTTGATAATAATACTAAAGTGGGTAACCTTCTGGGTTATGTGGGTAAGCTTCGGGGTTCGCTTCTTTAAAATGTATGTGGCGTTAGCACCGGAGTTACCATTTGGGTTAGTTGGGAAGTCTAGGTAACCATCAGGGTACCCGACGGGTAACCTTCATTTCCTTTCCTTTTCTATTAGCCAAAATATCTTTCACCATCATCAAAAGCAAACTCAATAGTTAAAACTTTCGATGACCGTATTCAGAACATCTCAGAAAAATATTTTTTATTATTTCCCATAATCTTTCTTAACAAAAGTCCACAGAAATAATATCCATTTCACAGATTTGAAATATCATTTAATGAAATTGATCTACGAACAAAGTTAGTGACGGGGACAGGACAGGGACAAAACAAAGACAAAAAAAGGACAGACTGGGACTCTCTTTACGACTTATCATCACTTAGTACCACTCCCCATCAGCTGTAAAGACTTCCCATCAATAATCATCAACTCTCATCACCCTAATAAACATCATATCTTAATCACTTATCATCACTTATCATCCCCTGTCATCATCATCCTTATCATCATCTCATATCATCACTTACATTCAGTAAGCAACAGTCATTATCAGTAATAACTATTTATCATACTCAAGTTTATAGTCTTTATGAATCATCCTCAGTCATAAAAAATATCATCAGCGACTTCATCATCATTCATCATCATCATAACAAGGTAATTGTTTCGATATGATTCGAAAGACATGTTAAGTTGGCTAGACTTACGGTTACTATTGTGGTATAGTGTTACGAGGTTAGGTTTATGATATAGATGCATAACTCAAATAAGCTGTCAGAAGACAAATTTTATAAAAGGGAACATATCCTAAAGGTAACCATTCAGTACACGTATTCACGTAGGAAGAATAACCACACAACTACTAAAACGTCAAAAAGAAAAAAAACTAAATTAACACAAAAAAACAAAACAATAAAGTTTGTTTGTAGACTTTTAAATATTCTTTTGCTTCCGTTTTGCCTTATGATTCTTTTCAATGTCTAGGTCCCCAGAAGGTGTGACTCAATGGAAACTAGATCAAATAAATAAATACAAATTTTACAAAATACAAAATTTTGAGTTTGTCACGTCATCAATTCATTTATCTCATTAATCTTTATTTGCGCTTGCATAAAATAAAAATGTCTTATATTCACATGAAGTTTACTTATATACATTTAAAAAATGATTTGTTGTGATATAATTTCCATGCTTATTTGATAATAGAAGGCTAGAAATTAGACCGCTTAACATAGACATAGTTTTGATATTGATTTAATAGATATGCAGTAAAAATGTTATAAAAAATAACAAGTCCGAATTCACATGAAACAGATATACGTAACCGAAAAAATCTCCCACTGAAAATTATATTCAATGGATAATCATATGGATATAAGCAGAATGTTACTGTCATGACAGGATGATAAAAGTATTAAATTATCAATTTTGGTCTAGATATACTCAATCCATTGTAAGAGTTAAAGAGGTATGATAAGTATTGCAAGATCATTATGTCTATACCCATATTGAATATGCTCTGTATGACATGGATTAAATTATTTTACCTATCAGACTTTAAGGCTAGAATAGGAAGAATCAAAAAGGAATAATCGACGTTTCGCTTAAAATACAATTCTTAAGATTAACCGGACATTCCTAGAGTTATAAGTGTTGTATAGTAGGAAGATGACTTTATTATGTTCAATTTTTTTAAAGTGTTCATATTAAGTCTAAACATTTATGTTATGAGCCGTTAAACAACATTTCTACTTTCCTAAACTAATATAAAGTAGATTTCTTGTACTAAATAGTCATTTATAAATCCTTAGATTTTTTGAAAGCATTTGTCTTAATCTGATTTATTAAAATTTGTAATCTACTCAGTTAGATAACAAGATTTGAACTCTTATAAAATACTATATCTGTGATCAATAAGTTATCAAATGAGATTAGAGCAAGGATCAACGTATCACATGTCTATTTTTGCACACGTGTACTCAGTAATCTCCCAAAGTCCAGGATGATCTAATAAGCCGGGAGATTATACTTATTGACAATGGAAATGCGCCGATGCTTTTAATCTTAAATGACATTTTACGTAATATTTTCTGACAATATGATCGTTTAAAACTATCCAATTGAGCGAACGAGGGTTGTCCCAAACATTCGTATAAAATTCCATTATGAAACATATGACACATCATTTGCATTTGTGAAGAAACCATATGTATTTATTTTCGAACAACAATCTAACCACAAAGTAAATTTCACGGAAAATGTTCCAATGCTTTTCTGTCTGTTTCTATCTGAAAACTAAACATATTTTGTCAATAAATTGTGCATATACTGAAAAAAAAAATTATAATGCGAACTTAAGGAACAGACCTCGTAATGACACTGAATAAATTTTGACTTTCTGCACGCCTTTTTGAAAAAAGGTAACCTTAAATATAAGGTGAAATGCAAACAGTTGTCATTTATTGTAGTTTTGTAGAACACAAAAGGTAGGACTATACAAAACAAATGCGAAACTTTGAAGTATTATTTTTTTAATTCAAAATATTTCTTTAACTTTAATACTTTTCATTTATTATTATATTGCGTTTACATATATTTTGCTAGTTGATAAACTTTATTGTCGATTTATACTGTATTTTTTATTATAGCTATTTCTTACTATTTCAGAGGAATGACTAACATTGTTTCTTAGAACAATGGCATGTATAATCCGCTACATAACTATTGCGTCTATATTCATCCACATCTCTGTTGAAGAAAAAGATGGAACTTTCAACGGTGGATCCATCAGTTACAAACTTGAAGAAATAGCTGGAAGGAAAATTGTAAGTTTACCTACTATTTATTTATGTAAAAGAATAATTAAATTATAGATTGATGTGTCTGCTTAAAACTTGTTTTGGTTAAATTTGTTCTTTAAGAAATGATTTTTGTATTTATGAAGAAAAAATACGAACTGCAAGTATTATACTAGTATGATTTACGATGTTAAAACTATTTAGTTCAGACACACGTTATTAAAAGTCTGGTCGGTAAAGTTATGATTTTACCACACAAGCTTGACAATAAACAACGCTTTGTGAATAATCTTTAACTTTCACCCCATTAATAAGTCCAATTTTAAATATTCCACCTCGACAAATGTGTTTCACCCATATTCAAACTATTGAAGTGATGCTTTAGGAGTTCGTCAGACAATAAATTTACTTCCTTTCTCTGGACGTTTCCACCTATTACTGTTATAATATTTTTATTTACTTTAAATTATTCGCCGTACTTGAGGGTGTATCAATGAAATTTTCAGATCCAAGAATACCTTACATTGTCTTTGTCAATTTCTTAACTCCAAGTTTTTTGGCCAAAGTACTGTGATGCATGTTCTTTGAGGTCCCGATTAAAGCAGAATACGTGCAGTCAATTACGAAATTTTGATTCTGTTGTTGCTGTTTCCATTAAAAAAATTTCATCGCAATATACGAGAATATCTACAGGCGTTTAATGTATCTAGTGTACTTTAAAAAAAGAATATAGAAATCGTCTGATTTTTACCTTTTTTCGGATATAATCATCGATGGTACACATTAAAACCCACCTCAGTAATCAAATGCTTTTGCTTTGCATCCAGCTGCATTATGACCTATTTTAAGACACTTAAACAACTTCTTTTAGACTCTCTTTTTCTTTTTCAATCGTTTAAAAATTCGGATACTCATAATTCAGTGTTTCTTTTCATAATATTGATAATTAACTGTTTCACTTTTTGTTAGCAGAGATCATTTCTGCATTTGTAACGAGAGCTTCAATTTAACTTATAGATTAACTTTAATGATTATTTGTATACTGGCTTATGTAGAAAATATTAAGGGGGGGGGGTTAGATTGGTTCGGAGAATGCATTCCAATGTCAAGATGCTACTTTACACTGCTTTCTAGAGTGCAATTGCATGCATTTTGATCGGAAATTTGACACATTTATCCTCTGTTTTTTGTAAATTATTATTTGAAGCAAATTGTTTAGATTCTTCTATTTCACTTCACTTTTTTTCTGGTCGGGTGGTTTAAGTATTCCTACTTGAATATTGTAGGATATGTTTCCTGCTTTATAAAACTGTCTTTTGGCATCATGATTGTGATATGAAAGCGTCATAAAAAACAGTCCCTTGTGAAATGTTATTTTACTTTACTTAGTTTTGCCCATTGTTTTCTCGTTTAAGACACCCACATTTCTTTGCCTGCGGACCATACGCTGCACTAGTTTCTCGCTGCATTTTCATACAATTATAAAAATATTGTTAAAATTCTCTTTCTGAGCAATTGTGATTTAGTTCTGCTGGCATGATTAACTTCCATATTTAAAACAAAAATAGTGATACTGTCAGTGTAGTAATGATTTTGTATATGCATTAAAAATGGGGTATATTCTTTGCGGTTAGAATCCTTTAATCTTGCTTATGACAATTAGATTATCAACCAACGATCCGGACAAATTGTATATTTTTTGTAGTGGTATGTTATCGTTTTGCTCGGTAAATTTCAATTGATTTTTTGAAGAACTTTGGAAGTGCTGAACAAGGTGACAGAATAATCATACAGTTTGATCTGTTTATTTTTTCTACAGCAAGTTAATTCCTCTTGCTACAGCGATACGTTGTTTGGGGTGAAGCGTAAATATCATGTTTCAATGTATATTTTTTTTTAAATCTATAGCTGCCTGCAATTTATATAAACCTTTTATACATCTTATACATCTAAATATCAAGCGTTATGATAACACAATGATTTATGATCATGCCAGTTTGTTTTGGAAATTAACATTAGTTTTTAGAAAATAGAGAGAAATAATGAATCCCTAAAGAAAGTATAAAAAATACATACATGTAACTGAATATGACGTAGACTAGGTTTGATTGAATCTATTCATGAATGATTGAAATTGCAAGGTACCTATCACCAACTTAAGCAGTAATCAAGATTTAACATGAAATGATAAAATGTAGAACTGTTCATACGGCAGTTGTCATGGAACCTTCATTGAGACATTTAAGTGCCATTCCATGAAAAGCGGCATATGACACCCTAAGTAAAAGAATGCACGAGCTCTAAGGACAAATTAAAAAAGCAGGACACATATTGTAAGGGTGCATTAAACAGTTTTCAAGTGAAGGTCTGTGTTAAATAGTTGTATTGAGTTGTATTTTGTTGTTGAATTATATTTGGTTGTTGAGGTATATGTCGAAATACAGCATCTATGCTGAATCAGAAAATAGACGTGATGGTAGGTTAGATTATAAAAAAAATATCGGAATTAGTTATGTACATTTCTGAAACAAGCTCTTATGATTGTTGAATCAAAGAGGGAAAACTCAACTAAGCCAATGGTTATTCAATCGGTTGATTTGAATTATAAGAAAATAGAAAAAAAAACAGAACCCCTTTAGAAAGACCAACACGACAAAAAAATGTTTTGTTTTTATTCTGGATCGAAGTGATGGACCAATGTTTCATCTTGAGTTACGATCCTGTAGATAAAGTCAGGTTCAACCTCGTAGCGAGACAAAAAATATCTTGAAATGTCAAGCCTGGTCCGTTTCCGGTCGTCAGTCAACTGTCTGGGGTCTCCATCCTTTGACATGCCATAGACATTAGCCAGAATTGCCTGAACTGAATCAAAGCTTATACCCATTTTCCTAGCAATGCTTCGCAGGTCTCGCCTTTTGTCGCACATGAACAGATCTTGCACAGCTTCGGCAGTTTCATCATTGGTTGCCATGAAATCTTTATGTATTTCGTTGAGGAACATCCCTTTCTTACAGAGGTACTTAATGATAGCTCTGATTTCAACTTTCTCCATTTGTCTAAAGGACACACCCTTTTTACTGATCAAAGTGTTTTTGTTACTTAACCTGTGTAAAATCGTGTGTAACTCGGTCAGTAATCTTCAATAAGATATCGGTATCGACGTATCGTGTGTAAATGTCAGTGTAGTGGCTAGCAGTATATCGGGACGAGAACTTCTTTTTATCATACCTCGTATTTACTTATGCCGCATACCAACAAAGAATTAAAACTCATTAAATGATATTTGTAGATACATTTGCATGAAAACAATATTGCAAATGAATTATAAAATTGAAATTCTGAAATTAACTTACCCTAACTTTAAATGAATAACCAAATGACGTTAAATAATGTCAAAATAACACCTTAATTTTATTATCTTTTTTCAAGGATATGTCCATTTGTATAAAGGTACTCATTTGTTTGTGTGTATCATACTATTTATGATTCGAGGTACATGATATTAAGAAATGGATCAAAATTTGATAGCTCCAAGCAAGCTCTTTTCGATTTACGCAGCTGGCTACTCATTAAAGCTTGTATACATTCCAATATCCTAGAATATGAATAATTTTTCTGTAGTAAATGCACCAACTTTCTTAATTAGTTTGTTGACTCCTCAAGACCTAAACGCTCTTTAAGATCAGTCTTTGCAGTCAGCTGTTGGATATTATGTAGAAAAAATACCATTTCAGATAGAAGTTTTAGTACAATAGGTCAAAAATTGTAGAATTAACTTCCTAGATCCCTAAGGCAAAGCAAATCTGAAAATTTGTTTCTTTAAGGGCTACTAGATGTGTGTATGTATAGATTATATGTGTATGCGTGTGAGATGTTTTTGTGTATGCATTGTATGTTTATGTTTATGTATATGTTTGTTGTTCCATGGAAACATTTTTATACTTTATATCTATGATGTAAAATTTAATAGTATGTTTTTATTTACAAGTTTAAAGTCTTTAAGATATTATAAAACGTCATTTAATATGTTTTGTACGTAGAAATAGGCGTTAAATCAAATTTTCAAGTTTCAAGAAGCGTCAATAGACTGACTTGAATCATTCAAAGGAGAAAAACAATCCACCAATTTGCTTGTTTACTTCTAAGAATCTGTTTTATATGTACTTTAGATTTTACACACTTGTTAAAATTAGTATATGGTTTGCAATAAATAAAATTGTGTATACAGACTAAAATATTGTGTCTTCCATATTTGTCGTTTTACTATGTTTTTATTGTTCTCGTTTCAAGATTTCAAACATTTTAAAAATGTTATTTTTTAGCTCTGTACAGGAAACGTCGTATATTTTTTAAACGACTAAGTGAAAAAAATATCAGCCTAAATAAAAACTAGGTCCTGATCATTACCATATCTCCATGCCTGACATTAACAGAATGTACCCCCTGATAATATCCAAACCACACAGTAATAACAACACAAATAGCTGCTGGGTCAAAACGGGAGAGGGCACCTTAGATGCAATAGTAAATGGACTACTAAGGAGTCAGTTAAGGGTTCACCAAACCTTACTATTAGCCAAGCTTGTTCATAAGAAACAGTGTGAAAGTGTCAGGTTGACATGAAATATTTATATCCATGCAAAAAAAAATGAATTGGAAAAAATTGCTCTAATTTCTAAACTTTAAGTTCAGAATTTTTTCTTGACTATGCAAGTATATGGAAAGCTGTTCTACACATCCCCAGTTCCGAATTGAAGTCTTTGTGCTACTGTAAGTCCAAGCTAGCTTAAAAAATGAATCTCCGCCAAAAATCTGACGTTTGTCATATCACGTCAATATTAAATATCATTATCTTTAAAATAAATGAATGTATTTGGAAAAAAAAATTAAGATGAAATTTTACACTGCAGAAGTTTTAGCTCGATTAAGTATAAGGAGAGCTGTCATACTGATTTCGGCGTCCACATTCATGTGTGTGGTTAAATATTTCTTGCCTCTATTTCTACAGGGATCATCTTCAAACTTCT